TTTTTTTTTATTTTGTGTGCGTGTACCGTCAAATCAGATCTGACTGGTACAGGAGGATATTGCGCCTCCTTCTCCGGCAGAGCATCTGGTGGATTCGAACCGCGTTCCTCTGGGATTGCAGTGCAGCTTCTTGCCACTAGGCCACCAGAGCTCCCCTTTGACAGCACAATTCTTTGTCACTAAGCCGCTAGTGCTCCCTGTTCATTAAGTTGCTGTAAGTTTTTTTGAGGTATAGTTTTACTGTATATAGAATTCTTGCTTAATATTGTTTTGTTTGCTTACAGCATTTTGAATATTATTTTTACTTTTCTCCTTGATTTCTTCCATGATTTCTAATAAGAAATTCATTTGACTGAGGATCCCTATACATAACGAGTTGTTTCCCTCTTCTTTCAAGATTTTCTTTTTGTCTTTGACTCTGGATAGTTTTGATTACAGTGTGTCTTGTGTTGATTTGTGTCTTTAATCAAATTTAGGAAGTTTACATGCATTATTTCTTTAGATATTATTTCTATAATTTCTGTTTTCTTCTGCATGGATACCTAGGCACGTGTATATAAACTACAGAAAATAGAGCTGAACAAATACAGTAGAATTGGGATATTCTAACTTGAATTCCTTACTTATAATGGGACCGATATCAACATCATCATGACTGTATAAAAGAGTAAAATTGTCAATAAAAAATTATAGTTAACCTGAATCGCAGCCAGTCATTGTCCATGGAAGCAGCAGTCAAAGATGCAAACAATGCTAGCAAAAATGAAGGGAGCTCTGGTGGCCTAGTGGCAAGAAGCTGCACTGCAATCCCAGAGGTACATGGTTCAAATCTACCAGATGCTCTGCTGGAGAAGGAGGGGCAGTCTCCTCCTGTATCAGTCAGATCCGATTTGACGGTACACACATACTAAATAATAAAAAAGAAAAAAATTTAAAAGAAAGAAATGTAAAATGATATAATTTTAGTGCTTCCTTATAAATTTGGAAATAGAATTAATTACCCTTTGTTTCAGCAATCCCACTATTCTGTATACATCTTAAATGCACACTCACGTTCATAAAAGCATTACCTATACTAGCAAAGAGGAGGAAGTATCTTTTTTCTGAATAGAAGCTTGTGAGTTCAACTTCTGGTCTTCTGGTAGCAATCCAACACTTAATCTACTTTGTCACCAGCCTTTGTAGTAACCATTCTTAAATACTAACATCAGTACTTAAATAGTTTATCTTGAAACTATTGACAAAATTGTCTTCACAAACTTTTTGCTTCACTTGTTGATATATTTAGATTGTATAGGTTTTCAAACCATCCATGATGGCCTAATAGAATATCTTGAAGTTGACATATATACCTTCCTAACATAAGCATTATAAAGATCTTTGTCTTGAAGGCAAATTTTATTCTTTCTTTTTTATTAATCACTGATATTTATAATACATAAACTGAAATCCTAAATACCGCACACCAGTACAGATAATGGGATATGTATTAGCTGTGGATTTTGGTTCCTTGGTTCATTTTAGAAATTAAGATGCACTATGTTTAGAGCACAGAATCATCAGTGTTCCTGCTGCTTCTTTCCTTTCATTGGGCTCAGTAGACAATTCTTCACAAAGACATTGTTTAGTAGCATAAATAAAAGTAAGTATATGGTTTTGTAGCACCAAGACAGTGCTATCCTACCTTCAACAGCAAAAAGAATTCTTAAGGCAAACTTATTTGATTTCATGTTGGAAATTAGTGATTGATTTGGGCCTTTATAAATAAACATCAGATACTCTAAAAGACATAGAGAATCCCATTGTTAATCCATAGTATCTGTATAAAGCTTATTGTGGTTTTAAAAAAAATCAATATTGTAATATGTCAAAATTAAAAAAGTCATTGCTGTGGACCGTCCAGCAGGTTTTTGTAGCTTGACAGCCCGTGGGAATGCTGGTGTATTTGAATTGCCAAAGTGGATACTATCTCTAGGTTAGCACTGAAAACACTCTATAGACTAGATCACTCTATGTATATCATATGTGGCAAACTTTAAATACTGTTCTTTCTTTGACCATAATGATTCTTAAGTGAGCTTTGAGATGTCTTTCCAAATCCTTTTACTCAAAGTTCCTAGCTAATCACAAGCATCACTTAAAGATCAGGGTACACCCTACTCAAGCCTTGGTCTTTTCAGTTACTTGCCATGCATCCAGAAGTTTATCAGTGACTAAGGATGACAGAGAAAGAATTGACGTCTTTTAGGTATGGTGTTGGAGAAGAGTATGGAATATTGCATGGACTGCCAAAAGAATAAATAGATATATCTGGGAACAGGTTAAGCCAGAGTGCTCCTTAGAGGAGGCAACGATGGTGAAACGTCACGTCCCATATGTTGGGCATGTTAAGAGGAGTCAGTCTTTGGAAAAAGACATCATACTAGCAAAGGGGGCGGGTCAGCGAAAATGAGGAAGAACATCAACAAGAAGAATTTACACAGTGGCTCTACTAGTGATTTCAAGCATATCTGAGATGGTGACAGTAGCACAAGACAGAACAAATCTCAGATCTGTTGTTTGTAGGGTTGCTATGAATTATAGTCGACTCAACACAACCTAACAACAAACTAAAAACAAACACTATGTATTTGTTTTGGTTTTTTAAAAAAAAAATCACAAAGCTAATTTCTCAGCTATGATGAACCTGTGCATAACGATTCATTTTAGTGAGAGAGATTAATAGTTAATGGGAATTGTTTTGCATATAGTAGGATGATGTTGTTGATTGCCTTCATTAGTATGTTATTGTTGTTAGGTTCCTTTGAGTCACCTGCAAATGTGTAGCAACCCTATGTACAGCTCTGAACCCTTCCCTGTCCTGAGCCAGTTTAATTCTGACACATCAACCCCTGTCACCCCATTTACTGTATCAATCCATCTAATCTGGGATCTCCCTCTCCTGCGCTGTCTGTCCCCCCTCCGAACATGATGTCCTTCTCCAAGGACCGATCTCTCCTGGCCACATGCCCAAAGTAAGTGAGGCGGAGCTTCAAAATGCTAGCCTCCGAGGAGACACTTGGTTTAAACCTCTCCAAGACAGACTGATAATGGTAGGATAGCAGTTGTAAACTATAAAATATATAACACATACCATAGACGGAGTTTCTTGTTATCTTTTTTATTTATTTTTTTTTTAAAGGACTTAAAGCCCAGTAATATAGTAGTGAAATCAGACTGCACTTTGAAGATTCTTGACTTTGGACTGGCCAGAACAGCAGGAACGAGTTTCATGATGACACCATATGTAGTAACCCGTTACTACAGAGCCCCTGAGGTCATCCTAGGCATGGGCTACAAAGAAAACGGTCAGCAAACTTACTTTATTTGAAATATAGTTTTCATTTGTTCATTAGATTTTTTAGGTGACTGTTTTAAGCTAAAGTCCACAAATAAAATATGTATCACTGATTTAAATGTGTAACAAGAGTTTGAAAGTATATGTTGCAAATATTTGGAAAAATTTGAGACCTTACTCATTTAAATAACAATAAATACAACATCAGTACTACCATTAGCTTAAAATTTGGCCCATAAAACTGAATATATACAATTTACTTTCTTAGGATTGTTGATCTTTTTTGTAAGAACAAAATATGAGAATTAATTAAACATATATTGAATTTAAAGTTGGCAGGCAAGTAATTCAGTATTAGTTAATAATAATAGCATTTAATATCAGTCTCATGGGGTACAGTACAAAAGATCATTCTTCAAAGCAGAGAGATAATTAAGGTTACCTGACCTCAGGTGATGTAGTCGATAGGGAGTTGTGAATGTAATTAAGACCACACCTTTCCGGAGGTTCAAATCCACCAGCAGCTCCTCAGGGAAAAAGATAGACCCTCTTCCTCTGCAGTTCACAGCATCAGAAGCTTGCTGAATGGTCAGTTCAGTTCAAAGGGAGTGATTGATGAGTTACAGGAAGCATAATTTAGCCTTCAGGCTAGTTTAGTATGTGAATAAGGCTTACATGTTCTTAAAAATCCTTCACTGAAATTGACAGTAACTTTCCTCAAGATTGCTTTTGTGTAAGTTGTATTGTGAATATTTTAACTGTAATTCACAGTTCTCTGCCAATCTATAAGGGAGACTTTCTTCCAAAGCATATTTTTTTCAGCATTATTAATTAGGATTCCCATTAAAAATGATGAGGGTCAGAAAGATGGTCTTTTTTTTTCCCAGTTGTCATTTGTCTTAGAAAACTTTCATACTGCATCCAGTCAACAGGAACTCCTTAAACTAAAAGTAGTACTGTTTATGGATTTAAAGAATTTCAATAGGACTCATGAAATAGATCTCTTACTAAGTTTCCTTAATTGGATTAGTTGTTACCTGTATACTTAATTCTTTGGGGAGAGTTGGATAAGTGTAGCAAATGTTGCAAAAAAAAAAATTTGACAGTTCAGTAGTGATTTCAACCAGATAAATCTAGTGTGAAAACTTTTGAAGAACTTTAGACGAACTTTTTACTTTCATTTTCTTGGCTAAGCAAGTTATGCTTTAAATATTTTAATATGCTATATTTTTTCTTCTCATGTTTTTATCTTTGACTTAGTCTAATGCACAATTGAAATTCAGAATAATAAATTAAATTTTAATAATCTCGTTACCTCATGCACATGTTTCAGCCATATTTTCAAAGTTTTTATTTTCTGTTCCATATTTTATCATTCCTGAAGTACAAAATGGATAAGTTATTATTTCTGTGCAGAACTCTCACTTTAAATTTAGATACACAGTTAAAAGACTACATTTTACTTGGCGAGGGGTGAATCAAAACCTTTTTTAAAAATCTTTTGTTCAGAATTTATTCCATTAGCTAAAATGAAAATCACTTTTTTCATTTTGTAGTGTGTTTTGCAGTTACTATATAATGCAGTCATACTATGCTTCTTTGATTTTAAATGACCTTTTGCTTTGCTTTCCCTTTTTTTGTGCTGCAAACATGTAGTGGATTTATGGTCTGTGGGGTGCATTATGGGAGAAATGGTTTGCCACAAAATCCTCTTTCCAGGAAGGGACTGTATCCTTATGCTACTGCAGCAGTTTAATTAGTTAGTCAGTGAAATTTCTTATGATCATGCATAAGTCTCTCTTAAGCAGATACAAAATTTGTAGATGTCATAGTTAAAATAATTGTTGGCATAAGCTGGAATATTGTTAGGCTGCATTTGGCAGTAGGCCATACAGTCTCTGCTGGTAGTCAGAACCATTCATTGTCACTCATTTTAAAAAATTTTATTTTATACTGCTTTTTATCATTTTAAACTGTACTTGGTGTGTATGTGGTTGCTTTTGGTTTTTATTTTTGTTAGTGTGTATATGTGTGTGTGTGTGTGTATGTGTATATATATATATATATATATATATATATATAAATTTGATTTAAACAAAAATTCTTATGTTAATGTCATTGCATTTTGTTTTCAGTTGACATTTGGTCAGTTGGGTGCATCATGGGAGAAATGATCAAAGGTGGTGTTTTGTTCCCAGGTACTGATCGTATCCTTAACTTTGGCCTAAAATGTAGTTTCTAAAGGTCAAAATATGTTAAAACACTTTAGCTTGGTCAGGTATAATATATTTGTTTCTCCCTAGTGAATAATAATGTTAAATTCTTTCAAAATGCCACCTGCTATTTAACATAGATCCTTTTTTCATTTTATTGACTGTCTCATGCTAATTCTTTAAACTACTCAAGTATAGTTTCCTAGTTACTTGCTGGCTTTGAATTGAAATCATAAATCATGGTTTAAATTAATTTCTAATAATGAGATACTTGAGTAAATCTAATTATTACTTAGGATTTGATAACAATTTTGAAATTGCATGTTTCATTTGGTCATTCTTTTGTTTTGCTTTTTTCTTTGTTTTTTATGTTCTGTATGCCTTTTCTTTTGCTTGTCACATTATTCAGCATAACATTGATTCTTTAATTTCAGAATGTCAGCAGTGATTGTTTTATATGGTGGTAGTTAGATCTGAGTTTGTGTTTTGGTTCCTCTGACTACTTTTAATATTTGTATTAACTGATCTGTCCTGGGTTTATCAACTAGTAACAGTTAAGAGTTGTTTTAGGAGGAAAGATTGGAAAAGTTGTAGTCACTGTGTTGCATACAGTAAGAGAGTTTCAAGTCTTAATATTTAGGGCCCTGGACTGTGAAAACTGGGAGAAGGGAGATCAGGAAATCTTAACCTTTACAACTTAGCCAGGTACTGATCTTTTTTTTAGAAATCTTAGAGCTATTAAAAAATATTGCTACAACCTGTATAATGACTTCTAAAAAATGCTATTTCCCCCCATAGCCACTATTTTTATTCCTAAATTTCTTTAGTAAAATTAAAAAAGAAGGTTGATTATAAAAATATTTCTTATTCTCTAGGAAATATATTTCTGTTTTTGATAAGCTGTGAGAAAAGACCATTTTTTTCAATTCCAGAATTGTGCGCCATTTCCATTTAGCACTCTCCTAGATGATAATTACCATTATTCTTTGAGTCATTTATTGCTTGTATGTATAATTGAGGAGCTTTAACTTCTAATTTTATGGTAAAATCAGAATTAGTAGTTCCCCTTCACACATCAATACACACAATAAATAAGGTTAATAAAGCTTATTTCTTGAACCTTTCTTTCCACCTACATTGAATTCCTTTTGTCAAGGTGGTTGTAAGAGAATATTTATAACTGCCACATTCTTTCTCAGGATTCATGAAAAAACCATTTTCTTGTAGTTATGAGTAATCTGTTGAATAGTAGATATGGAGTGGTTTTCTTAGCAACTTGATATTAGATATTGATCAGTGGAATAAAGTTATTGAACAGCTTGGCACGCCATGTCCTGAATTCATGAAGAAACTACAACCAACCGTAAGGACTTATGTGGAAAACAGACCTAAATATGCTGGATATAGCTTTGAGAAACTCTTCCCTGATGTACTTTTCCCAGCTGATTCAGAGCACAACAAACTTAAAGGTAACTTCAAAAATATGTAAAATCTAATTGTCTGAGTGTACATGCATGTGTGTATTCAAATTTTTAATGGGATTAGCCCAAGTATGTCTTAGTGGTAGATCAATATGAAGTTTTGGTTGTTTATCCTTAATTTTATATGTTTTAATCATTTATATGGCCTAGCTTTGCCATATAAGTATTATTTTTAAAATATAAACTAGTTAAATTTACTTGTATTTTTAAAACCTTAACAAGATACACATACATTAACATGATTGTTTTTGCAGCCAGTCAGGCAAGGGATTTGTTATCCAAAATGCTGGTCATAGACGCATCTAAAAGAATCTCTGTAGATGAAGCTCTCCAGCACCCCTATATTAATGTCTGGTATGATCCTTCTGAAGCAGAAGCTGTAAGTCCTTTTCTTAATATTTGAGGAATCTATTGCATTCTTAAGATTTAGAGTTGAATTAAAGTTTGGAGGAGACCTGAACATTTTAAATAAAAAATATATGTAATAAAAGTATTGTTTGATTTTGCATAGGGAGTTACTATTGAGTTGTTTCTGATTCACACAAAGCAATTTGTTTCAGAGTAAGACTATGGTCCATAAAGTTTTCAGTCACTAATTTTATTGGGTGTAGATTGCCAGATCTTTTTATGGGTCTTTTTTATGTGCTTCTGCATAGACTCCAACTGTCAGCTTTTCATGTAACAATGAAAAACATGATTTGTACCACTCGAGCTCCAAACACCTTTCTATAAGTGGTAAAGTTAATTCTCATTTCTTATTGCCTTCTTAGCTTTTTTCCTTTCCTTCTTTTTTTTTTTTTTAAACACCTGACTGGAGAAGCTACATTACTTAACCACTTTGAGGAACATCATGATAGAGTTATAAAACAAATAAATGTGCATAAATTGCTACAAATTTTGGTAGAAATAAAATAGGACCATTTTAAAATCTGGAAATAAAGAATATAATGGCTAAACATCTTTTCCACCTGAAATGAAGGTTTATTATTGATTGCTCTTGCTCTAATGAAGCATATTTCAAGTGTTCTGATTTATAGCTATAATAGTTGTGATAAGGATCTTTCTCTGTAAATTGACGCAGATATTGTCTTTTTTAGCCACCACCAAAGATCCCTGACAAGCAATTAGATGAAAGGGAACACACAGTGGAAGAGTGGAAAGGTAATATTTATCTAATTCTTAGAGGTAAAATGGAAAGAGCATTTTTTTGTTGATTGTTGTTGTTGTTATTGTTGTTATGTGCCATCAAATTGCTTGTGACTCAAGAGCCCTAAATCCTGCTCTATCCTGTGCCAGCCTCACTGTCTCCAACACACCTACTCCCACCACCCTACTCATTGAATTGATCCATTTCATCAAGGGTTTTCCTCTCCTGTGCTGTCCCTCCACTCTCCCAAACATGATGTCCCTCTCCAAGGACTGGTCCCTCCTTGCAGCATGTCCAAAGTATGTCACATGACGCTTCAGAATCCTTGACTCCAAGGAGCAGCCTGGCTTCACCCTCTCCAGGACAAATCTGTTTGTTCTCCTAGCAGGCATGGTATATTCAACATTCTTCTCTAGCACCACAGCTTAAAGGCATCAATTCTCTTTCTATCATCACTAGTTATAGTCCAGGTCTCTGATACATAGCACACAATTGCTTTTATGTTGTGTTTATGTTGATATATTCTTATATTGGTATTTTCTATTATTCATAACTGATGTATGGTAATACGCTTATTAAGATTTTTATAAACGTTGTTTAGTGCCATCTATGACTCATGTTGTTAAGTACCATCAAGTTGAGTATGACTCATAGCAATCCTGTGAACAAAAGATCTGAATCTTTTTCTGTCCTGTGCCATCCTCATACTTTCTGACACACAAGAACCCATTGCAGCGGTTACTGTGTCAACCCACCTGGTCAGAGGTCTTCCTCTCCTTTGTTGACTTTTCCCAGCATCATGTCCTTTCCTAAGGAATAGTACCTCCTAGCAACATGTCTAAAGTATGTTGTTCTTGCCTCCAAAGAGCACTCCAGCTGAACCCTCTCCAAGACACATCTGTTTTTTTGGCCGTCCAAGGAATGGTCTGTGATCGTCTCCAAAACCACAGCTCACCGATATCAATTCTTCTGTCATCCTTATTCTCTGTCCAGCTTTTAGATGCATAGCAAGTGATGAGAAAGAATATGGCCTGAATGAGATACACCTTAGTCCTCAAACTGACAACATTATTCCTTGGTAATTTGGAGAGGTCTCTTAACTGCAGATTTTCCCACTGCAATTCATCTTATTTTTTGACTGCTGGTACCAGTGGTGTTAATTGTGGCACCAAGCTAGATGAAGCTGTTGACAGTATCAATCTCCTCTCTATCCATCATGATACTGCCTATTAGTCCAGTGGTAAGAATCTTTGTTTTCTTGATATCGAGGTGCAATCCATATTGAAGGCTGAATTCTTTAATCTGCAACAAGTGGTTCAAGTCTTCCTCACTTTCAGGAAGCAAGGTTGTGTCATCTGCGTAATGCAGGTTATTTATGAGTCTCCCTCCAATCGTTATATAACACTCTTATTCATAGAATCCAACTTCTCAAAATATTTTCTCAGCACACAGATTAAATAGGTATTACAACTCATAGTGATTCTGTAAACAACAGATCTGAATCTTGCCTTCTCCTGTGCCATCCTAATCATCTCTGATATGCTTAAGTCCATTGTTACAGTCACTGTGTCATCCCATGTTATGGGGGTCGTCCTCACTTTCTTTGACCTTTCATGTTTTTCAGCATGATTTCTTTTCCCGAGAACTTACCATCCTACCAACATGACCAAGTATGTGAGACAGTTTCCCCATCCTTGCCTCTAAGGAGCACACTAGTTGCACTTCCTTTGAGGTACCTATTTGTTCTTTTGAAAATCCATTTGATATTCAAGTAAACTTCTTCAGATGCATCATTTATTCTTCTGTCACCCTCATTCATTATCCAGCTTTAATATGCATAGGAAGTAATTGGAAAGATCATGGCTTGGATCAGGTACACGTTAATCTTTAAATTGAGAAAAATGTTATGTGGGCTTTTTTGTTACAAATAGAAATGTTTTTGATATTTCTAACAATTCTCCCATGTTATTGTTCACATCTGAGAAGATCTTTGAAAGAAAAAACGTCCTCTGAGCCAAAAGTTTTTGGGGTGGATTTTTTTTTTTTTGGTTTTGTTTTGTTACCTCCAAACTATTCTCCAAATAAAATTCATTGTAAACATCCACATATTTATTAGCATTATATGGAAAGCCTGCCCTCCCCTTTACTGATAGTGTTTTTTAGTTTTATTTTATAAATGTAGTTGAGTATTGGGGAATCTCTGGTGGGATAGTGTTTAGGACATTCACTGCTAAGCCAAGACAAGGTCTCTGGTAGTTCAAATCCACCAGCAACTGTGAGAGAGAAAGAAGGACAGTTTCCTCCTGTTTGATGGAGAGTCAGTTATGAGTCTGTTCCAACTTATAAGCATTGAGTTTAATTTTTTTTAGTGAATTATTAACAATGGTTTCATTGACATGGAATTTCTGAAATGTTTCTTTTTAAAAGATACCTGAGACAGTTGGACCAGGCTGTTTTTATTCCTCTTTTGACCAGTTTTTTTTCTGTTTGTTTGTTTTGTTTTGTTTTTTTATCCAATGAACTTGGGCCTTACTGCTTTCGCTGAGAATTCCAACACAATACTGAACAGAAGTGGTGAAAAAGGACATCCTTCTCTGGTTCCATACACAAAGGGGATGAATGCCTTTATTGTCTCTCCACTGAGAGTAATGGTGGACCTTGGTTTGGGTACATACTTATAATTCTGTTGAGGAATTGCCCTCTTCCATTCCTACTTTGAGTATTTTTTCCAGAAAAAGGTATTGGATTTTGCCATATGCCTGTTCAGCATTGATTATGATGATCAAGTGTCTTTTAGTTTGTTTTATTGATGTGGTTAATAACATTGGTTGTGGGGTTTTTTTGTCGTTGTTGAACCATCCTTACATACCTAATCATACCGGATCAGTCATATACCACTTAATCATGATGAGTAATTTTTTTTATTTGATTTTTGGATTCTATTGGCTGGGTATTGCTAAAAATTTTTACATCTGTATTCATGAGGGATGTTGGTCTATAATCTTCTTTTATAGTGATGTTTTTGTCTGACTTTCATATAAGGATTATGCCTGTTTCACAGAATGAATTCAGATATATTCTCTTTTTTCCCCCCCCCCTATGTTCCCCAATAGTTTGAGCAGAATTAGAATTGGCTCTCCTCTAAATTTTTGGTAAAATTTCATTCCTGTTTTGAAGCCATCTGGACCAGGATTTTTCTTTTTCCCGTTATGAAATTTTCTTATGGCCTTTCCTAGTTCTGCTTTTGTGATGACTATTCAAATAGTTACATAGGTAGAACATTTTTTTTAATACTTAACCATTTCCTCTAGGCTTTTAAATCTGTTGGGCTATAGCTTTTTATGTTGTTACTTTTTATGTGCTTTTGAGTCAAAACTGACTCATAATTGACCCTCCACCATATTTTCAGTGGGTATAAATTGCACAGGAAGAGAATGTCCATCTTTCTCTCAAAAAGCAACTGGTAGATTCACAGGATTCTGTTACTATACTTTTTAAAAAAATTTGTTTCTGTTGTTACATAATCGTTTAGTTTCCTACTGTGTTACCTGTGTCATCTCCTTTTTTGGTTAGATTTGCCAGCGGCTTGTCAATTTTATTAATCCTTTCAGAGAACTAATTTCTAGTATTATTGATTCTTTAGCTTTTCTTATTTTGTTGTTCTTATTTTTGCTCTAATCTTTACTATTTCCTTTCTTCTGGAAACTGTAGCACTTTCTGTTCTGTATCTAGTTGTTGAAGATGTCAAAATAATGCGTTACTAGTCATAACACAACTTCCTTTCTGAAAGTGAGGAATATATGAAACGCTGCAAAAGATCCAGTATTACAGCCTGCAGTATGGATTGCATCTCAGCGTTAAGAAAACAAAGGTCTTCACCATAGGACCAACAGTCGACATGATAGAAGCTGTCAATGATTTTATCTTACTTGGATCAACAATCAGTATCCTTGGTACCGGCAGTCAGGAAATCAGGAGATGCATTGCATTGGGCAAATCCGCTGTCAGAAACATTTCTAAAAATACTGAAGAGCAGTGATGTCAATTTGAAGACTAAGGAGTGCCTGATTCAGGTCATCGTCTTCTTATTCACCTACATATCAGAGAGCTGGATAATGAATAAGGGTGACAGAATAATTGATGCCTTTCATTTGTAGTGCTGGAGAAGAGTACTGAATACTCCATGACTGTCAAACAAACAGATATGTCTTAGAAAAAGTGCCACCAAATTGCTCCTTGGAGGCAAAGATGGCAAAGCTTCATCTTTCATACTTTGAAGCTATATTCCTTGGAAAGGGCTATCATACTTGGAAGGATAGAGGGGCAGTGGAGGAGAGGAAGACCTCCCTCATGAGATGGATTGACATGGTGACTTTAGCAGTGGGCTCTAGTGTGTCAGAGATGATGAGGATGGCACAGGAAAAGACAGGGTTCAGGTCAACTGTTCATAGAGTTACTAACTCAATGGCACCTAATAACAAGAAGTCCTAGTACACACACACACACACAAAAAAAAAAAAAAGAGGATGGATAGCTGGGCAGGGGCAACAACGTGCACTTAGAATCTGTTATGAAATGAACTGTTTTCTTTCAAAAACATATAAAAATCGGAATCTCTCTACCTAAAAAAAAAAAAAAAAAAAAAGAAGTCCTAACATTGATGTTAACTAATTCTAATAACAAGCTCAATAGTTTGATGTCAGAATCTTTATTTGTAGTTTGTTGTTATTAAGTTCTTTGTACAGCTGACTAAATGCATAGCAACTGTGAACCACAGTTAGAAATCTTGTGCCATCCTCAAAATTTCTGATATGCTCAAGCCCATTGTTACAGTCATTGTGTCACAATATCTTATTTGGGATCTTTTCTCTGGCTTTCTGATTTTCCTAGCTTGATGTCTTTTTCCAAGGACTGGCCCTTCTTGACAGCATGCACTAAATATGTGAGATGAAATTTCACCATCTTTGCCTCAAAGGAGCATCCCGGTTCCACTTCCTCCAAGACAGATTTGTTCTTTTCTCAGTCAATAGTTTATTCAGTATTCTTCACCAATACCATAATCCAAAAGCATCAGGTCTTCAGTCTTCCTTATTTCTTTTATAACTTCCACATAAATATTAAACAATTGGAGAAGACTCATGGCTTGAATCAAGGTACATCTCAATCCTTAAAGTATCATCCTTGCTCTTTAACAATTTAAGAATTTCCTTTACTACAGACTTGCCCAATGCAACTTGCCTTTTGTTTTTTTATATTTTTACTGCAGCTGGCAGGGATATTTATTGTCAGTCTAGGAGAAATAAAATAGTTGGCAGCTTCAATCTTTGTTGTTCCATCTTCCATGAGGTTGCCTGTTGGTCTGGCTGTGTAATTTTTTTTTCCTTAATGTTGAGATATAACTATATTGAAGGCACTATAGTCTTTGATCTTCAATAAGTGCTTCAAGTTTTCACTTTCTATTGACATGTTTGACATATATGCAGTGTAGGTTGTTGATAAATCTTCCTCCATTGTTCATGTAGTCCAACTTCTTGGATTATTTGCTTGGAAAAAGATGATTAGTATTTTTCCAGATCAAAGGACTAAAGCAAAATGTAAGCCTTGAGTTAGGATACGCTTATTTTATGTACAAAATCTTGAGTGATACAGGCAGCATCAAAAGAAGATGGAAGAAATAGACAGTGCAGCAAAAAGAATTGGTTGGCACTGAACCATTTTAGGAAGTAACAAAGATCAAGAACCAGTGGTAACAAATAAGGTGAAGCTTAACTGAAGGCTTTGTCTTTAAAAATAAGGCTCCAATAATTAATGTAATTGCGATAGAGATAATTCAGCCAATAGATGCAGTCCTGGATGTGCTAACCAGCCTATGCCAATGTAGTTGGAAGAAAGCTACCTCTTCAACTGACCATTCAAAGGGGGGAAAAGATCTAGCAGAGTGTAGAAACTATCAAACAATATCGTTGGTATCACATGCAAGTAAAATCTTACTGAATATTACTTCAAGGATAGCTAGAGCAGTGATACATGGACAAGGAACTGGCAGAATTCAAGCTGAATTTAGAAGGAACAAGGAATATAATTTTAATGTCAGATGGATCTTAGCTGAAAGAAAATATCAGAAAGATGTTTACTTGGTTTTTATTGACTATGCAAAGGCATATAACACTCCGAATGATAATAAATTGTAGATAATTAGAGAAGAATAGGAATTCCAGAACACTTTATTGTGTTCATGTGAAACCAAGAAATAGTTGTTTGAACTGAAGGAAGGGATACTACATGGTTTAAAATCAGGAAAGTTGTATATCAGGGTTGTATTTTTTCATCATGCCTATTTCATGTGTATGCTGAACAATGTAATTCATTGTGTACATCTGCAAAAAATAGTTCTTGTATAGTACTCTGTTGAATGTTTCAGTTACCACTTACAGGCTCAAGGATTTACTTGGAAGACTCAGAATATAGTCATAGTTAGTCATGGTTATAATTTGTTAGAGTGAAAAGATAAAAAGTAAAAATAAAGAAAAGGTTGTGGGGCAAATTCTGGGAGAAACTAACCACAGTCTTCCATCAAACCTTCCTAACTAAGTCACAGCAGGATGGATGACTTACCAGCAATATGTTGTGACATGTACAATGTTTGTGAGGGACCTTTGTTTGGGATTTAGTTCCCATGACTTTTGTTGGGATTGTTCATGTAGTCATCTTCCGCATAACCCATATTGTTTGCAGAATTTAGGCATAGTGAGCCAGCTTATCAATTAATGATGGAACCATTTTGTAATCCAAGTTCCTAGAAACTAGTGAAGCTGGAAGCTTGCTTCAAGTGTGGACTCTTCAGCACAAGTACATATTTTTATATAAATATGATGTTGAATGTACTTAGTACATTGTCTCTTTGTTTCCCTTTGTGAACCATGTATATCATTGCTTAATAACTATAAGTTCATTGATGGTGGTGGTGGTGGTGTGGAGTATGTTGAGTAGGAACCCACCAGTCTCTAGTGGATTTTCAGAGGCAGTAAATTGCAGAAGATAATTATGCCCATTTTTCTTCTGCAGAACAGCTAGTGACTTTGAACCATATATCTTTTAATTGGCAGCATAATTCTTTACCACTAATACCCTTCAGCCTTTAATATGAATCGCATCTCATGAAAACAAAAATCCTTGTCACTGGACCAATAGACAACATCATGATAGATGGAGAAAAGATTAAAACGGTCAACAACTTTGTCTTATTTGAATAGACAATTAATACACATGGTACTACCAGTCAGGAGATTAGGAGATGTATTGCATTGGGTACCAGAGGAATATCTATCTTTGTTTCATTGACTATGCAAAGGCATTTGATTGTGTGGATCACAACAAATTCTGGCTCACCTTCAGGAAAATGAGAATCCCAGAACACTTGATTGTGCTTATGTAAAATCTATACTTGGGCCAGGAAGCACTCCTCAGAACAGAGCAGTGAAATACTGCATGGTTCAAAATTAGGAAAGGAAAGCATCAAGAGATACATCCTGTCTCCATAGCTTTTCTATATTTTATGCAGAACAAGTCATTTGGGAAGTAGGACTCTTAAGAGGAGAAATGTGGCGTCAGGATTGGAGAAAGACTCATCAACAACCTATGTTATGTAGATGACACAACCTTGCTTGCTGAAATGGAAGATTTGAAGCATTTGCTGTAGGAGGTCAAGGACTGTAGTCTTCAATATCAGTTGAAGCTTAACATCAAGAAGACAAAGATTCTCACGACTTGGCCAATTGGCAGCACTGTGATAGATGGAGAAGAGATTGAAGTTAACGATTACAGCTTGCTCGGTTGTGCAATCAACAGTCTTAACACCAGAAGTCAGGAAATCAAAAGATGAATTACATTTAGAATCTTCTTTCAGGGACCTCTCTAGAGTGCCAAAAAGTAACAATGTTAGTCTAGAGACCAAGATGTGCCTAATCCAGGCCATGGGTTTAGCAATTACTTGCTGTACTTCAGAAAGCTCAACAGTGACTAAGGATGACAGAAGAAGAATCAATCAATACCCTTCTAATTGTGGAAGAGTCTTGCACATACCACGTATTGCCAAGAAAACAAATAGGTCTGTCTTGGAGAGGGTGAAACCAAGTTTCTCCCTGAAGGCTAGGATTTTGAAGCTCTGTCTCACATAATTTAGGCACGTGGCCAGGAGAGGCTGGTCCTTGGAGAGGATATCATGCTTGGAAGGATGGAGGGACAGCGCAGGAGAGGAAGACCCCAGATAAGATGGATTGATATAGTAACTGGGACAATGGGGGTTAGTGTGTCAGAATCAGTGAGACTGGCTCAGGGTTCAGAGCTGCTGTACATAGTATTGCTATGGGTCTCAGGCACTCGATGGCACATAACAACAACAACGTTGCATTGGGAAATTCTGTAGTCAAGGACTTGGTGATACCAGTTTGAGGACTACGGTGATCTTGATTCAGGCCATGTTTTTTCAATCTCTTGCTGTGCATGTGAAAGTTGGACAGTAAATAAGGATCATATAAGAAGATTTGATGCCTTTGAACTGTGATACTGGAGAAGAGTACGGAATATACCATGGATTGCCAAAGAACAAATAGATATATCTTGGAGAAGGTGCATGCAGTCAGGGTGCTCCTTGTAGGCAAGGATTGCCAACCTTCATCTCATATACTTTGGGCATGTTGCAGGAGAAGCTATTCCTTAGAGATGGACATCATGCTTGGAAAGGTGGTAGGACACAAAGGAGAGGAAAACCCTCAACCAGGTAGATTGGAACAGTGACTGCAGCAATGGGCTTGAGTGTGTCAGAGTTGTGAAGTTGGCACAGGATAGTACAGGGTGCAGATCTGTTGTTCATGAGAGTTGCTGTGTGACATACTCGACTCAGCGCCACCTAGTAACAACAGCAGGCCACCAAAGCTGAAATATATTAGTAGGAACTCTGTTTTTCCTGTGCTTTTCAAATTAGATCTGAACTTAAATACTTAGATATGTTTCTTGATACAGGGTTTTAAGTTCATGTGTTGGCCCCATTTACTTCCTTCATGTTTGCAGAAAGTGTCTTAATTTTACCTTTTAGAAAGTATCAGCAGGTGAAATTTGGTTGTTATGTATAAATACAGAAAAATGTCAAAAAAGTATTTAGGTTGTGTTCTGATTAGAGCAAGCTTCCATAAAACTCTTGATTTTAATATTTTTAAAAGATATCTGTTAATACCTACAGTGTAATTGTTGAGTACCATCAAGTTGGAACTCAGCCTCCCTAACTACCCTCCAATGAATTTTCAGAGGTAATAAATTGTAAGGAAAGAGATTGCCCATCTTTCTCCAACAGAGCAGCTGGTGGTTTCTAATTACATGCCTTAGTGTTAACAGTGCAGTTCTTTAACATTAAGCAACCAGAGCTGCCACCTACAGTGGTAGAGTTGTTATATAAACCTACAGGGTACCAGATGTTAAATCCTAGAGCTCAGGAAGTGCAAATTAATAAGACATAAGTGTTACAAGTCTCATAAATATAAGACTAAAGAAGCATTCATGCAGGATTGTATATGATATGATTGGGTATAGTACAGAGTACTAAAGAGGAGGAAAAATAAAGCCACAAACCTTAATTTTATCCTTAAATTTTAAAAATAATAGTTTCTTCCAGTATTATTCACAGTTGAGATTAAGGGATTGCTATTAACAAATCTTAGGCTGACATTGCCATTGTTAGAATACTGTTGAATTATTTATCATGAATACCTTTTTTTTAAAAAAAAAGCTTGTTTGATTGGCTCTTAGACTTTGAAAAGTCAACTGACTTTTATTCTTCTTTTTTCCAGAATTGATATACAAGGAAGTTATGGACTTGGAGGAAAGAACCAAGAATGGAGTAATACGGGGTCAGCCCTCTCCTTTAGGTTGGTTACACTATAAGCTTGGTTAAAATTACAGTTGACTTACTTACAGTCTTCAGATTACATTTCTCTCCATGTTTACTACTATTGTTGTTTGAAGTTTAATAAGTGCTTATTTCAAGTTAAATTAGAAAGACTTTATACCAATATATATATGTAACTATGTAAAATATTTTTTCTTTGATATTGACATTCCCTTAAAGGACAATTGAAACCTTTATCCATTGGCATTGTTCACTGTCTTTACAGAAGGCTTTTCTCAGAATTTAATGTACTTATCTTTTGATGATCTCAGCAGTCTTTACTTCACATAAATAAGCAGAAGCTTCACTGCATAATTTGGTATATTGCAACTTAGCAGCCATCAAGGCCTAGCTCCCTAGGTCAGATTTCACTTTCTCCATAAAACTATTTTGAGCCTCGTAGCTAGAGATGTTTCCACTGCTCTTAGAGTTCAAACATTAAGAAGAAAACTGGATTATGGAAGAGAATGACTTTCTTTTATTATAAAGAAACTTTACTGTTACTGTTGTTTTGTGCCACCCAGTTGACTACTGGGTTGACTCATAGAGACCCTGTGAACGACGACTATGAATCCTGCTTTACCCTGAGCCAGTCTCATCGGCTCTGACACACCTACCCTATTGCCATGGTCACTGTGTCATTTCATCTCATCTAGGGTCTTCGTATCTTGCTTTGACCCTCTACCTTTTCAAGCATAATGTCCTTCTCCAAGAACTGGTCCCTCCTTGCACTGTGCCCAAAGTATGTGAGACGGAGCTTAATATTCAGAAAAATTATGGACTGGGGGGGGAAATGTAAAGGACAGAAAATCATGTGTAATTAGTATGTTTAATATACATATACTACATGATAGGCACTGTTAGATGGCTTATCTACTTCATTCAGCTACTAAAATTCCCAGTGTCCTTATTATCCAGTGCTCCTTTGATGGAGATACACAGGTGGATGGTTTTATCAAATAGATTTATTTTCTTATTATTTAGGAGACTAAAAGTCCTAATTCAGAGCACCAACTCCAGGAGAAAAGTTTTTCTTGACTCTGGAGAAGGGTCCTTTCACTCTTTCACTTTGCTTTTGCATCATGATTCCTTAGGGAATCTCTTATTTTGGATCAATTTTGCTTTGTTTTGTTTTCAACTATCTCTGCTTCTCTTCCTTGCTTGTTTAATTTCTTTTATATCTCAAAAGAGAGTGAGTGACTCAAGACACATCTAACTATGCTCCTGCCACATTAGCACAGCAGAGACAACTCATTTTTAAATGAGATTTTAACCAGAAGTATGCTACGCTGTACTTAGTTGCCATCAAATCTGTTGTGTCTCCTGGCAACACTGTGAACAGCAGATATGAATGCTGCACCATACTCACCATCTCTGATATGCTGGAGTCCCTTGTAACAGTCACTGTGTTGATCCATCTTGTTGGAGATCTTTCTCTTTCTCTGATCCTCCACCTTTCAAAGCATTTATTTCTCCTACGAACTGGCCCCTCTTGACAACATGCCCAAAGTATGTGAGATGAAGGTTCATCATCCTTGCCCCTAAGCAGCACCCTGGTTGCACTTCCTCCAAGATAGACTTGTTTGTTCTTTTGGGAGTTCATGGAATATTCGCTATTCTTAACACCAAAATTCACAGTCATCAGTAATTCTTTAATTTCATGTTCATTGTCCACAATTTGCAGATCCATAGGAAGTAACTAAAAAGTCCACGTCTTGGATCAGGCACACTTTAGTCTTTATTCTGACATCCTTACTCTAGCATTTTGGAAAGGTCCTGGGCAGTAGACTTTCCCAATGCAACACATCTTTTGATTTCTTGACTGCAGTTGCTGTGGTTGTTGATCGTGGATCTCAGTAAAATGAAAACATTGACAGCTTCAGTCTTTTCTTCATCTGTCATGATGCAGCCAGTTTGTCTAGTGATGAGGATTTTTTCTTTTCTTGATGTTGATGGCTGTAGTTTTTGATCTTCTACAATAAGTGCTTCCAGCCCTCTTCACGTTCTGAAAGCAAACTTGTATCATCTGCATAATCAAGATTGTTGATACCACTTTCTTTATATAGTCCAGCTGCCTGAATGTTTTGTTCAGCCTCCAGAGTATTGTTGGTTTTAGGTGTACTGTCATGTTGCGTACAACTCAACAGTGACCCCATATAAACAACAGACCCGAACCCTATCCTATACCTGAACCCTATCCTGTCCTATGCCATGCTTACAATCTCTGACATACTCGAGCCCGTTGCTGTAGTTACTGTGTCAGTCCATCTGGTTGAGAGTCTTCCTCTCTTTTGCCAATTTTCCAAGCATATTGGTGTTTTGCCAACTTTCCAAGCATATTGGTGCTCTCCAAAGAATAGCCTCTCCTAGCAACATGAGGAAGGTATGTGAGAAGAAGTTTCATCCTTTTTGCCTCCAAGGATTACTCTGGCTTCACCTTTCAGTACAGATTGAATAGGTATGGAGAAAGGATACAACTGTCGTTCACACTTTTCTTGATTTTAAACCATGCTGTTTTCTTGTTCTGTTTGGACAGCAGCTTCTTAAGATTTGCATGTTCAGGGATTCCCATTCTTCTCAGTGCTACCCATAGCTCACTATGGTCCACACAGTCAAACACTTGAGCATAGTCAATAGAACACAAATAAACATCTTTCTAATATTCTCTACATTGAGCCAACATGTGTCTGACATAGTGTCACAGCCACTTCTGAATCCAGCTTGAATATCTGGCACTTTTCTCTCAATATTCTATTCTGACTCTTTTTGAATAATCTTTAGTACAGTTTTCTTTTCAAGTAGTATTCATGATACTGCTTGCTATTTCCCACATTCTGTTAGATTTTTTTGGACATAGGAACCAATAAGCATTTCTTTAAAGCAGTTGGCCAGGCAGCTATCTTCCAGATTTCTTGGCATAGGCTCGTAAGCATGACCATGCAGCTGTTTGTTGGAGTGTATCAATTGTTATCTCTGCGATTGCCAGTGCCTTCAGTGCAGCTTGAACATTATTAACCACTGTATTGATCATTTGCTTTTTCCTAAAAATAGTTCAGTGCTTACTAATTTCTTTTTGATAACAGTGAATGTGTACATCTTTTGATGTATCATTCAAGATTTAGTCCGAAGAATCCTTCAGTGTTGCATCCAGAAGCTTGAAATTTTTTTCTTTACTTCCTTCAACTTGAGAAATAATGAGCATGTTCTTTCCTTTTGATTTCCTAGCCCTTTGCACATTTTTTTATGACACTGTGCTTTGTGTTCTTGAGCTTCCCTTTGAAATCTTTTATTTCATCTTTTTCACTTCAGCATTTCTTCCCTTTGTTTTATGTTCTAGTGCAGTTTTCAGAATCTCCACATAGCCATTGTGGTCTTTTCTTTCTCCCCCATCTTTGTAATGGCATTTTGCTTTCTTCTAGGTCATATTATGTCATCCCACAGCTCATCAGGTCTTTCATCATTAGTGTTCAGTGCATCAAATATATTTTTTGAGATGGTTTTTAAATTCAGATGGGATAGTTGTGTTTTGTTTAATGTGGACTTGTTTTCATTTTCTGCAACTTTAATTTGAACTTGCACTTGAGTAATTTGATAATCTCTTCCACAGTCAACCACTGTCCTGGTTTTGACTACTGATATTGACCTCCTCCATAGATTGTTTTCACAAATGTGGTTACTGTGATTCTTGTGTAGTCCACCTTGTGAGGTCCATTAATATTTTTAGAAAAGGTATTTGCAATGAATAAATAAATCATTGTTTGTACAAAATTTTTTTATTGGTTCTCCAGCATCATTTCTGTCATGAAGGCTATGTTTTCCAACTCGCACTTCTCTCTCTTCATTTCATTTTTGCATTCCATTCTGGGTTTTATGAGAAGGAATGTGGCATCAGGATAAGATTCATTAACAGCCTATGTTATGCAGATGACACAACCTTGCTTGCTGAAACTGAGGAGGACCTAAAGTGCTTGCTGCAGAACATCAAAGACTGTAGTCCGCAATATGGATTGAAGCTCAACATCAAGAAGACAAAAATTCTCACCATTGAGCCAGGTGGCATCACCGTAATAGATGGAGAAGAGACTGATGGTTGCTAACAGTTTCAGCTTTCTTGGCTCCAGGAGTCAGGAAATCAGAAGATGAATTGCACTGGGAAAATACGCTATCAGGGACCTCTCCAGAGTACTGAGAAGCAGCAATGTCAGTCTAGAGAATAAGGTGCACCAGATCCAGGACAGGGTCTTTGCAGTTACTTGCTCTGCATCAGAGAGCTGGACAGTAACTAAGGATGATGGAAGAAGAGTCAATGCCTTTGAGTTGTGGTCCTGGAGAAGAGTATTGAATAGACTATGGACTGCCAAGAGAACAAGTCTGTCTTGGACAGGGTAAAACCAGCTTTCTCCTTGGAGACAAGCATTTTGAAGCTCTGTCTCACATACTTTGGGCATGGGCCTTGGAGGGCACAGGAGAGGAAGACTCCGGATAAGGTGGATTGATAGAGTAACTGTGGTAATGTCCATAGATGTGTTGGAGTCAGTGAGACTGGCTAAGGACAGGGCAGGCTTCAGAGCTGTTATACATAGGGTCGCCATGAGTTGTAGGGTACTCGATGGCACATAAAAACAATATTTACCAGTAATTAGTATTGCCTATTGATTATATGTTCAATTTCAGACTTCAAAATTTGGCAGGAACTCTCATTTTCTTTAGCTTTAGTGGTTGGTGTATATATTCATTTAAATAATAGTTGTATTAATTGTTAGGTAAAGATGAATAGAACCCCTCATATTGGAAGAAATTAAAGAATGAGAGAAACACATAACGATCAACATTCTAGGCATTAAGTGAGTAGAAGTGGACTCATATATGCTGCTTTGAATCAGAAAATCGTATGATCTCTTAAGGCAGGAATGACAGTGGTGTTGAATTCTTAGTCAAAAGGATCATTTCAAGATCATCCTGAAGTACAATGTTGTAATTGTTAAGATACATATATAAGGAGTATTATAGGAACAAAAGTTAGAATTTACATTTACACATTTAAAGATTATGGTTTTACCTAAATAATAATTTTGGTTTCACCAAAATAGGGATTCCTGCTTATATTTTGCTAAAAAAGGAAACTGAAATTTTAAAAAAATTTAAGTAATATAAGATTACCAGTGTAATATAGAAAGGCTAATAGGTGAAGGCCATTATGTTATGCAAATGACACAAACTCACCTGCTGAAAGTGAGGAGGACTTTGAAGTACTTACTTTAAAAAGATCAAACAATATAGCCTCAATGTGAATTGCATCTCAAGGTCAAGAAAACAAACATTCTTACCACTGGATCAATAGGCAATAGCATGATAGATGGAGAAAAGATTGAAGTTGTCAACAATTTCGTCTTACTTGGATCCACAGTCAACAACACCCTTGTTACCAGCAGTCATGAAATCAGGAGATGTATTGCACTGGCAAGGTCTGGAGTCAGGAACCTCTCCAGATTATTGAGGAGCAGTGATGTCAGTTTGAGGACCAAGTTGCATGTGATTCAGCCTATGGTTTATCTGATCACTTGCTGTGCCTCTGAAAGTTGGACAGTGAATATGGATGACAGAGGAAGAATTGATGTTTGAACTCTGGTGTTGGAGAAAGTGGAGCCAGAGTGCTCTTTGGAGAGGGACATGATGCTTAGAAAGGTGGAGTGTCAGTGAAAGAGAGGAAGACACTCAACTAGATGGATTGACAGTGACTGTTGCAATGGAGTCTCGTGTATGAGGAAGTGTGAGGATGGCACAAGGTAGGACAGGGTTCAGATTTGTTGCTTATTAGGTTCACTATGAGTCGTACTCGATTCGACAGCATATAACAACAACATCTACAAGTAAAATTTTGGTGAAGATTATTTTAAATACATGACTAAGAAACTGCCAGAAATTCAAGCTGGATTCAGAAGAGTTCATGAAATAAAGGAGATCATTGCTGACCAGGTGGATCTTGGTTAAGAAAGAATTCCAGGAGGATGTTTAATGTGCTACTTTGACTATAAGAAGACACTTGACTGTATATATCATAATGAATTTTGGTTAACATTGAAAAGAATGGGGAATTCCAGAACACTTAATTGTGCCCATGTGAAACTTGCACATAGAGTAAGAAGCATTCTCTGAAACAGAACAAGGAGCATACTGCGTGGTTTGAAATCAGGAAAGGTTTGCATCAGGGTTGTATCCTTACTCTGTACCTATACATGTTCCATATGTATGCTGAGCAAATAATCTGAGAAACTGGACTATGTGAAAAAGAATGTGACATCGGGATGATGGAAAAAGACTTGTCAGCAGCCATAGCCTTGTTTGTGGAAAGGAAATATTTATTAAGCATTTACTGAAGAAGATTAAAAACTTCAGTCTTTACTATTAATTATACCATAACATAAAGCAAAATCTTCACAAGTAGGCCAATAAACAGCATGGTAAGTGAGAGGAGACTGAAGTTCAGGATTTAATTTTATTTGGATCCACAGTTAATTCCCATGGAAACAGAAGTCAAGAAATAAATATGTTGCCTTGAGCAAATCTGCTGTCAGGAACCTCTTTAAAGTACTAAAGAGCAAAAATAATAGAACTAAGATGTAAATTTTTCAGAATACTTGGAAGACTCTTTATGTTGTGGATTAGGAATGGGACCTTCTAAGAATAAAATCCTCATGCGCATCCAGAAACTTCTCTAACAGGGTAAAAAGGGAAGCCACAGACTGGGAAAAAGTGTTTGGTAATGACATGTCAGATAAGGGACTTATATCTAGAATTTATAAAATACTTGAGCACCACAACAAGATAAAGATGAATAATCCAATTGACAAATGGGCACAGGATATGAACAGACACTTCACCAAGGAAGACATTCAGATGGCCAACAAGCACATGAAGAAGTGTTCAAAATCCCTAGCTCTGAGAGAGATGCAAATCAAGACAACTATGAGATATCATCTCACCCCAGTAAGACTAGCAAAATTTAACAGAACAGCAAGCAACAAATGCTGGCGAGGTTGTGGAGAGACTGGAACCCTTATTCACTGTTGGTGGGAGTGTAAAATGGTGCAACCACTGTGGAAAGCGATGTGGCGCTTTCTCAAAAAGTTGCAAATAGAGATACCATTTGACCCAGCAATTCCACTACTGGGAATATACCATAAGGAGACCATAAATGGCACCCAAGTAGATATATGCATACCCATGTTTATTGCTGCTTTGTTTACAATAGCAGGGAGTTGGAAACAACCCAAATGCCCATCAACAAACGAATGGGTAGAGAAGCTGTGGTATATTTGCACAATGGAATATTATGCTGCATTGAAAAACAAGGAACTCATGCAATATTATTCAAAATGGGTGACCCTGGAGGACATTATGCTGAGTGAGGTATCTCAGTCACAAAGGGACAAATGCTATATGGTGCCACTGTTGTAGAATGAGGCTGACATCGGGATGGGAGTAAGACTGAGAAAAACTGGATGAAATATGTTTATGGCATTGAAGTCTTTTGGGGAGAGAATATTTTATATTTTAGGGCATCATGTTTATCGTAAGAGTATGGAATGAGGGTTGCAGAGTGCATTATATTTGGGGGTTGGGGGATGTGTGTGGGGGATTGCATACCAATGAGGGAGTTTTTCTTTTGTGTTTGAAGGAGAGGAGCAAACGGGGGGGGGGATGGGTGCAATGAATGAATGGAATTCCAAAATCTCTGTAGATGTTCATTGAAATTAAAAAGAAAGAAATTAATAAAAAAAAAAAGAACTAAGATGTATCTGACCCGAACCATAGTATTTTCATTTGCTTTGTACACATGTGAAAGTTGGACAGTGAATAAAGAAATCAAAGAATAGATGTCTTTGAATTGTGGTGTTGGTGAGGTCATAGTATACCATGGACTGCCAAAAGAATTAACATAATATTTTGGGAAAGTACAGGCAGAGTGTTCCTTGGCACTACAGGTGATGAGAATTTGTCTCTCATACTTTGGACATGCTGTCAGGAGCAGCCGAAATCATCCATGGAAGGATAGAGAGAGGGTCAGTGAAGGAGAGGATGATCTTTAGCAAGATGGCTTAGCACAGTGCCTTGCGCTTGACCACAGTAGAGATGAAGAGGGTAGCCTTGTGAGTTGGATTTGACAAAGCAGCACCAAAGACAGTAACAACATACGCATATGAAAATTGAACAAGAAAGAAGGAAGACCAAAGAAGAACTGATACCTTTGAATTGTAATGGTGGTAAAGGATGTTGAATGTACTCTGGGAACACAACCAACCAATCCATCTTGGAAGAAGCGCAACACAGTCCTTCTTAAATTGACAAAGTTGTTGTTATTTACTGTTGAGTCATAGCGACTGGTAATTGACCTTCCAGCAGGATTTCAGAGGAAGTAAATCACAGAAGGAAACTGCCCATCATTCTCTTGTGGAGCATTTGGGAGATTCAAATCCCATGCCTTTGGAGTGGCAGTATAAGTCCTTATCACTAAGCCACTGTTGTTGTTGTATGTGCTGTCAAGTTGCTTGCGACTCTTAGCAACCCTATGTACAACAGCCTTAAACTCTGCTCTGTCCTGTGCCAATCGCACTGCCTCTGACACACCCACTCCACTGAATCAGTCCACCTCATAGAAGGTCTTCCCCTCCTGTGCCGTCCCTCCATCCTCCCAAGCATAATGCCTTCTCCAAGGACCGGTTCCTCTTTACACTAAACTACTAAGATTGACTATATGTGAGATAGACTTAAAATTCTTGTCTTTATATGTAAAACAAATTAGTAGTTACTTCTTTATTAGGAAGAGTAAAACTCCAAATGCCTAGACCTTTTCAGGATTCTCATTTCCCAGGTTACAATGGAGAGTTTATAAGAATATAGTTTGTGAGTATCTGTGTTGGACCTTATAAATACAAAAGGCAATCAGTACAGGGAAAATAGCTTGGTCTGCAACTCTGCAGCTGATATGCTGTTTTGTTTCTCATAGCACAGGTGCAGCAGTGATCAGTGGCTCTCAGCACCCTTCGTCATCTTCATCTGTCAATGATGTGTCTTCAATGTCAACAGAGCCAACATTGGCATCTGATACAGATAGCAGTCTAGAAGCATCATCTGGACCTCTGGGCTGCTGTAGATGACTAATTAGGCTTTGGGCGGGTGGGAGGGTCGGGAGTCATTTAGTCATTGATAGAACTACTTTGAAAACAATTCAATGGTATTATTTTGAGTGATTTTTCAAAAATGTAGAATTCATTTTGTAGTAAGGTAGCTTGGTTTTTAAAAATTTCAAGTGCTGTAATTTAAAACCGTAAATTCTGTTTAAAACAGCAACAAAACTGTATTGTAATTTTTTTTGTTGTAATTACTTGTATAATGTAAACCTAATTATTTTATCATGGTTTAAATTTTTTGCATATTTTTGCTTTATCTTATGCTGCTGATTTTTTTTTTTACTGAATTTGTAAAATTTTGTTTATTGAAGCAATTATTATGTGGTGACTTGCCTATATCATGAATTATTTAAGATTTTTATAGTTTTTTTTAAATTAGAATTTATTTCATATGTGTTGTTCATGATGCTGTCCTTCAGGGGTGTATGTGTATCAGTAACAGAACCCCCGAGGAGTGAGGGAAAATAACCCGTAGCCAGTAATATTCAGGAATAACTACTGTAAATGAGGAACATGTTAAGAAACCTCCAATATTTTCTACTTACCAATTCTATTTTAGTTAAGACAAGTAGTAGATTCTCCTACCTGAGTTTTGGGAAATCGCCAGCTTCTAAAGACTCAGAGCATGTCTTTAAAGATGCTGGGTATCTACCACTACCCATCTCTTCACCCAACCTCACAAAAGTGAAATAAGAATATGGTGTATTCTGCAAATTTGTGGCATGCTCAAAGCTTTTGATCATTTAAAGTCGAGGATACTTCATGAATAATACATTTCAATGCAAATAAACAGATGGTTCACTTCTCTTAGCTATGAGCCTGTTTTGTACACACTGAGTTAATCTACTCAGGCTGTAGGTCCCTGAAGTGGTCTGGAGTTCAGTCTTTTCCTTTCCTGCAGTCTTGGGCCCTTGGACCTTTCTGGTTTCCTATTACTTGGGAGTCAGTTGGCACCAGTTCTCGTAGCTGTTTTGTAATCTTATTGATACCAGCTGTTGGGAGGTCCCAAAGCCTACTTAGATTTCTGTAGGTGATGTATCAAATGAGCAGTATACCATTCATCTGAAAATAGTAGCACACAGCCATATATAAGATATAATTTTCTAAGGACTTTTTCACATTGGGCAGAACAGGCATAAATGATGGTTATTTAGACTAAGTCTGTCGGTTTTTTTATACAAGATATTCAGTACTCCATGCAGTGTGGATCGTGAGTAGTAAAGAATGGTGCTGCTCCTGACAAATGTGTTAACTGTTTACATTTTATATCTGCAGAATTATTTCTGAATTGCTCCAAAGTGAATGTCACTGAAGTGTCATTATCACTGAAATATATTTCTGCAATGAGCCTAGGCATCTTTTTGTTATCATTGGAATAATGAACTGAGAAAGGATACTGAAGTCAGTGGCCAGGTCCTGAACAGAAAATCATTGAAATGAGTAACCAGTAGAATCACAAGTACAATCAGTATGTGATGTCTGAAGGTTTACCTGGCGTGGATTCGCATACTGACTGCAAATGTGAATGTGCAATATTTAAGATTAAAATGCATTAGGCTTTTTGTATGTTTTGAGATAGCGAAAATGGTTTTGATAGTTTAAAGCCATTATTCCTAGCTTCTTTATAAGTTTCATTCTTTCTCTTTACCATTTTTTCTACTCACAAAACATGGTGCATTAATTTTTGAGGCCAATAAGAATTTTGAGACTTTACCACCTCTTGAATTGAAAAACAGGGTTGGATTCATGATTTTAGCAAAAATGTGATTCATGATTTTATCATGTCGTCTTAGTTTATGTTAGCTTCATAGTTTTGTTCTCTAGGATAGATTCTTTCACTATTGCACTTTAATAGCTCGCTTGATTTCAGAAGATTCTAGATCTTATATTTGATTGTTAATGAGCCATCTCTATTAATAAGAGATTTGTTTAGACAAGGAAAACCAAGTGTTCTTATTGTTGTATTTGTTGTTATTGCTAGCTGCCCATTGCCAAACAGCATGTTCCTTCAAATCCAGAGAACATGAACTCTTTATTTCTTAATGTGAAATATTTACCAGATTATATCCTGAAAACAAAAGTCTCTTGTTAAATGTCGCTGCCTTGGGTTTTTAAAATACATTACATATATTCATACAACTTTCTCTCCTCACTTCTTTAAAGCTACTTAAGCCTTTTTTGTTTAAATGCTAATTACATTCTAACTAGTTACCTTATAATTTTTGTTTTTCAATTTTATACATTTAATATAAAATGAGTTTGGCTAAGATTTGTTAATTTGGTTAGGGAAGGAATGCTAGTTCTTTCTAAATGTGTTTAACTGTTCTCTTACCCTCTAACAAATACTGACCATTTTTGAAATGACTGTGTGATAATCCTGTTTATAAAACACTTAAGTAGAGCATATCAGCTCTTTTTATACCACTTACACCCTGGTGGCTGCAGATTGTTCCTGGTATACCTATTCTTTCAAGCTGGTAAAAGATAAAATTTACTTCAAATTCCCAAGACAATTTGAATGAGAAAATTCACTAAGAAGGCAACCATGCATGAATACAGAGAAGCCCAATTGTTTATAAAAGAACAAACTTTCTGATCCTGCTGTATTATCTAAAAAGATGAAGGTGAAGAGGACATCATTGTCTTACATGAATTCGGCAGCGGGCAAGTAAAGCTGTTTCCTGAGTTACAGATAAGACTTGGTTTACATTATTGGCCATTATCTGCTATATATGTGAAGACATTTCAACACTCGATGTCTCCTTGGTGCAGGCTTGTATCTTCTGAGGTGACATATCTTTTCAGAAACACTATTATAGTTTGTGTGTGTTGTTTCTTAATTACACAGTAGTTATAGAGTGGATGCATGAAGCCCTGTGACTCCTGATAAACTTCACTTAACCAGTAAGAAATCCAGTACCCCATTAAGTGTTACTTTTCCATCTCCTTTCCCATTTTAGTGTGCATTGTGTTTCTACTAATCTCTCTTTGAATTTTTCCTAACCAGAAGAAATGAGCTTTCCTTAAACAGCAAGAAAGCCTAAGCAGTAAAGGGCATTGAAGCAGTAATGAATAGTTTGGGGTACAGAAGTCCTAATTAATTTCAGACCAACTGCTCTTAAGGAGAGTCTAGTAAGAGTAATACTTTCCAGGCCACTTTTGGTACAGATTCTCTTTCTCACAGAAAGAATTAAGAAGTGTCTGTGGATCGTTTTGCACAATGTTCTGTTGTCACAATGACTTACAAATACAACCAAGTTTTTATTGAACTACCTCACACTTAATTTTCTGTGCTTTCCCAAGTCAGCTGTCGCCCTGTTAGATCTTCACTGAGTGAGAATTATACATGTGTATTAAATGTAGCTAGTGTTGTTGCAATACCTGTGAGTATGTAAAATAGATACCTTGCTTCAGTAAGAGACACTCACATGTAAAACTTTTCACTGTGTAACTTGGAAATTATGTTAGATATGCTCGTTGGAATTATTACTGTCTTTGTAAGTAGAAACCTCGTATCAGTCTTTCCTTTACATTTTACAAAAGGAATAAATCTTAGTAAATTTTACAAAGAAAAATTACTTTTGTAGGCCCAGTATTTGGTATATTTTTTTGAAAAATTCTTAATCTTTTAGCTAAATGGTGAAGTTGAACAAAGCACTGTATACCTGGATTGTGACATCTATTTTCTCATGACAATTTATCCTGTTCAGCAGGTTTTAAAACCTGAGAACAGAAGTATGTTAATTGACATTTGCTCTCTACCTAACCGGTACCGTTCTTTATTCTTCTCCTATTCCTATCTTCCACTCCTCTAGACAAAAGAAGATGGGCCATTTTGTAGGGAACACTGAGATAATTATTGTGTTTTTTAATCGTCCATGCCCTAGTTATTAAACATGCACCGCTGGAATGTAAACAATGTTATCTAGTCTGTCAATTGGTTATAATATTTTAAATAAAAAAGAAAAAAAGTGTTATGAACATTTTGAAATTAAGAGTATTTTCATTGAAAACAAAGTAAAGTGGGTAAAGCTTTCCTTGGCAGTGTTAGGATTTCACATTGGGATATAAGAGTACTGGATTGGATTCTTACATAGATTATGAAGATCCTAAACTATTGTACTGGTTTCCTGGTTAATCTAATATTGCTTTATGGTATTTTAAATCACTGGATTACTTTAAAATTACAGTTTACTTCAATGCCCTGAAGCTGATTTTTTGAAATTAGAGTAAACATCGTAATCACTTGACAGAACTTGGTTGTTAAAACTAGGATCTTTTTCAAAACAAGCAGGAGATTTCTTCCTTGAATGGTTTTTCTAACTTTTGGTTGGTTTTAATGTTTTTTTATAATTGGATATTACCCATTTTTTTAAAAAAAAAATAATTGTGGTTTTAATGAAGGTTTACAGAAAGGTTAGGTTTTCATTCATTCATTCATTGTCTACAGTGTTTGCCAGGCGTATTTTCTACCTGCCAGCTGTGGACATACAGCCAAAGAAACACAGGTAAAAGTAGATATCAGAATGTGTTATGAATTTTTCCTCCTTCACCCAGTGATAATACCCTAGTGATGGCAAATAAAGTAACTTAATTTATTATTTATTTTAAAAATCTTCAAAAGGCCCATTGTTGTTCTTTGTGTTCCATAGAGTTGAAACTGACCCATAGCTGACCCTCCAGTGAGTTTGCAGAGGTTGCCCATCCTCTGTGAAAAAGCTGGCTTGTTGAAACCATGTGTTTTCAGGATTGCAGCGCAGATTCTTACCACTAGGCCACCAGAACATTAATTTTATGTAAATAAGAGTTTATTGTTGTAGCTTATACACTAGTTTGTGTTAGGACTCTATTTGACACTAAGAGGTACTTCAGGTATATTTTGTAAATTAATTGATGAAAGCATGTGTTTCTAGGATCCCTTGCTGGAAGCTAGGAGTGTGATGAGGTGCAAGAATGCTTAACTCCACTGTTCAGAGTCCTATCATCCTGATTTTGTGTATAGGAATGAGAAATGTGTTCCAGAAGAAACCCAGACAGGACAGGCTGATTGGAGAAAATAAATAGGGTTTTCTGAATAGTGGAGGAGATTTTTGGGTCTTGGTATAAAGGTGTAAAGATACTCTTATCAAAAGGAATGGCAGGGTAGTTTTAAAACTTTGAGCATGGACAAAGAACAGAGTGGCTGGTGTGGGTATAGGGTTAATTGATGGATTTTGAAGATATGCTTCCTCCTGCAGACAGTAGGAACTCTGAATTTGTGAGAAAGGGGTTATCCTTTGTCTTAGTAACCTCTTGACAGTGGTCAGGTGTAGACTCATGGAAAATTGGTGGCAAGGAGTCTTCAGGTATTCAATTGAGAACACTTGTAGGTGGAGAGCACAGTGGTTTGGGAGACCAAAGATGTCAGAGAGTGAGCCCGTGGCCATCAAGTTGATGCTAACTCTCCATGTTTCTAAGGCTGTCAGTCTTTACAGGAAAAGACTGGAAAATGCTCTCCCTTTGAGCAACTGAGATTCAAACTACTAAGCTTTAAATTAACAGTGCAACACAGTGCAGTACACCAGCAGATTTTATTGGATTGGGAAAGAGGGTGTTCATTTGGACACATTGCTGACTTGTAGGTGAAGTCAAGATTAGCATCAGGGACTGGAGACAAGTTTTGAGGGGTGCTACCTGAGACAGCAGGAAAAATACATTGTGTGTGCAAACCCCTAGTTCACACAGTTGAGTGTAAAGCCCACAACAACACAATATCAGGTGAGATACACCTGTTAGACTTACTGCTTCAAAGGAAGAGTTGCTAGGCTCTGCACATTGCAGATCTCTTGAAAGCTGCACCATACACCCCTTAATTTATTCAGACCATTTTATCAACACTGTTGCCATATGGATGGGATGGTTGGACAAAGAATCTTGCTGGGCATAACACTTGTTTTATTTCTAGAATTATCTGGAGGAAGGGGCTTCTTAATCCCAAAGGCTAAAGATGGTGCACGTGGTGACCAGACAGCGCAAAAGAGCTTCTGATAAATGAGAGAATTATGACTGACTGGAGAAGAAAGGGTGGGTTGGAGGTGCAGACAAAGTCATTAGAAGGAAGAAACTAAAGTTACAAGGCTGTGAGTAAGGAAAAACTGGAGAACTTTGGATCACCTGGGCCCTGTGAACCCTGCATATTCTGAGAACAGAATGGTTTGAGACAAGTCTCTGCCTCCCTGAGTCTCCACTGACTTAGTTTCATCCATCCTTGGCAGGACAGTTTCTCCCAAGGTTGCTCTAAAAACAAGGTGAACCTATATGCTATGTTTTTCCAATTAGTGCAAAGTAAATACAACTCTTGATTTTAATCTTGGAAAGGAGTAGAAACGATTTCACGTTTGGAGAAATGTTCCAGAAAAGGGGACTTTACGTGGTCTCGTGTCAGAGCTTAAATACTCTCTAGCCCCATATTATTATCTCCATTCTCAGCTGTCTCAGTCTTCATGAGTGATGAGAAGAAAACCTCAAAAACCGTGTTGCG